CATAAATCAAGAATCCTTTGTGTTCTAGACAGAATGGGAATAATTAACATGTTCCAACAAAACAACTTCCTCAGTAAATAAATGCCTTATATAGATGCAACCAGATGCTTTCTTACAAAGTGTGCTAACGTTTCTACCCTACATTGTGCTTCTAATGCTGTGCAATGAAGTTGAAAAAAGAATCACCAGCTGGGATTTGTCTCATTGCATTATTAGTTATGGTCTTGTCTAGGCAGCATTTTATATTATGGAGGAGTGGAAATAAATAATCAGTGATGCATTTTGCAGGGAGAAAACTGCACACCACGACCAACCAGTCATTTTTTCTAACTTCATATCTGAGGTCGTGTGAGGTCCAATATTATTCATTCTTCAACACTTGCATGAATACTCCATAAAACCATTCTGGTTTAAGTTATGGTTATGCTCTCTGACTTACTGTTTTAGTTATCACCTGATGCACTTTCTAAGGGTCCATTTGTAAATCATGAATATAGCAGAACAGAGTTCAACACAAAATCTCATTAACATTTAATATTTAACAGATGCTAACAGAAATTGAAAACAAAATTGGTATAAAATACTCCAGGAACTGCAAGAGGCCAGATGTGGTCTACAAACTAGCAACTACATTTATGAGCTTTTACGTCATTTACCCTTTTTGCAGACTATCACACGACAATCACATTGTTAGTACATAATGTGCACAACAGTACTTCAAGAAACAGCCTGAAGCTAAACTGAATCAAACACAGACAAAAAACTGTGGATTGGTGCCAACAGTGAAGTTTCAGTCCCATCTTCTGGCATGCAAAAGTTTTGAAACAAACCATGTTGAAGTAAACTATGATATGGGAGCACAAGCGATGGACATTGTCCAGTTGCAGATGAGATAACCCTCCTCCACACCCCATCCTCAACTTCTCGGGACCGTTTTACTGCTCAACATATTTGGAGCCAATTTTTATTTATCTCAAATATTTCAGAATTCCACTGTAAGCCCATGCAGATATATACTGCACATTATATAGCACCTTGGGATATCCTCCTGACGTGAAGGCGCTTTATGAATGCAAAACTGTATACAGTTCAGTTCTTTTATTCCCATGCATCTTTTACATAATCATCATAAAATATTGTATAAAAAACAAAAAGTTTTTATCATTTATTTTAACTTGAATAAAGTAAGCAACCAATTGAACCTCTTGACCATGTGACTTGAAACTCTTCCCCAAAAGTGTTTGAGATCTTTCTATAATGTACAGTGGATGGAAGCACAGTGATTACAAAATGTTAAGGCATCATTTAGAGCAACCCATAATTAAGCTCCTCAAAAGAGTATAAATTCCTTTTTACGTGAATCTCCTGGTACCAATGGTACACTTCTGACTTGGAAGGCTGCTTTTCAGTGTACATACCCAGCGTGGAGAAAGCTGATTGATCAGCTGTGGATTAGTGTCAATCATGCAATTTCAGACTTATCTACCAGCATGCCAAAAATCGAAAACAAACCATGTTAAACTGCGCTATGGAGAACAAGAGATGGGCACTGTGGTGCAAAAAAAGCTCTCATAAGAGAGGTTGGCTAACCAGCCTATTTTCTGGCCAACCCTCGACAGAAACTAGAAGTGATATCAGCAATTAACTCAAAACCCTGAAATGAAATTGGCAGCTATATTTTTTAATCCATGGCCCAGTTTAACGTGACATCTTTTTGGATCAGAAGCATTGTATATTAGGTTTTCACCAGCAATAGCAATCTTCCTTGCCTCTGTTCAGCCAAAGCCAATGCTGCCTTTACAGTTATTACCATATTTGTTTCTTGTCTGATCCATAGTGAAACTATATACCGGGTGACTGATACATTTACAAGAAGTACTCTTTAAACCAAATGTTGTAGCTCAGTGAGAACCTCCACATTAAAAAGCATTCATGAGGGATGTTAGAAGATGCAACAAAATTGAATCAACCATGTTGATGAAATATAATCTTAAGATCATGTTGCAGCATTTAATTGCATAACTGTAATGGATTTATCTAATGCTGTATAGAAATTTATTTTTATTCAGATTGAGAAAATATATTTGTCAGGAACACCCACAAAAAAGCAAGGCTGAGACTATAAAAAGATTCCAGAGTAATGAAATAAGGAATTGTGCAACACAAACACATAGCCAAATAGCAGCCTGGTGTCACATTACTTAATCAGCCCCAAGCCTACAAATACCTTAAAGGCAGGCTGATATTCAAACATTGAAGTCAACAGTTGTTATTGCAGATAGCAGAAAGTGTAGTTATAGGCACTTTCTTGCACATATGTGCAACATGTCCTGTACACGTGGAGTCCTGTAGGTCAGTGGTTAGAGTGCTCTAACCAGGGTTCGATTCCCGGCACAGCAAAATGTTGGGCAAGTTTCCTTACTCCACATGCCTTTGTTTACCTAGCAGTAAGTAGGTCATTCGATTGGCGGATCGCTTTTTCGGGGATAATAAACCCTCGAACAAAAAAATTATTTGGTCAATCAATCCATGACTGTTTGTGGGACACAAACAGTCTTGGCTGCCACATTTCACCCACAAATATACAGTCAATTCACTTTACAGTATATTCTGTGAAGCACTTTGAGACATCTAGAAGACGTGAAAAGCACTATATGAAATGTAAGCATTATTATTATTATATACTATGACTGTTTGTGGGATATTACTGTGCACAATTGGCTGCTGCGTTTCACCTACAAAATACACACTCCATTTTACAGTATATTCTATGAAGCAATTTGAGATGTCTTGAAGACGTGATAAGGCATTTTTGCAAATGCAAGGATTATTATTATTATTTAGTGTTACTTGCAAGAGGATGACAAGTTGGTTAGTTTTTGTCGGTGTTTGCTCAACAATGAATATATTTATAGGAAAGAAGTGGACCAAATTTAGCTTGCAGAGATAACAAATTATGATGGTTCCATTTGACAATAACTCTTGTATTTGATATGATGCCTTATCAGGATGAAATGCGCAAAGCATCTCAGAATTCTCCGTGAAGTGTTGTGATCGTTTCTTGATTCTTCAATGCAATGAATACAGCATTGTACCACAAACTGCTATGAATTGAGTGAATACCCAATTATATATCTGGGGGACTGTTGCTTCCTGGAGAAAATATCTTCTCTAATTGAATAGCGTCACATCCACAGATGAGACTTCGACTGAACAACACAGTTCTCCAAGACTGCAATGGATTGTCAATATCATGAGATGATAATTCCAATTTAGGACTTGAACCCACAACCTTACGACCGAAAGGAGAGAGTGCTACCATCAGAATCAGACTGACACTAATATTAATTCTATGAACTTATTAGCCCTTTGGTTCAGACATTACAGTGTGATGAATGTGAGCGATATACACAAACAAAAATCCTTATGGCCTGCAATAAACTCGGAACCAGCATATTTTTCATTTAGTACAACGCAAAGTGTTCTGCAATACTGTGCAACACGAACTGAAAAACATAGGAAATATCTTGGCAAAATATCTGACATCAGTATCTTGGCATGTGTTGGTCCAAGAATAATAGAAGGCACTTTAACATGTGTATGAGAGGAAGTCAGAAATACGGGCAGTGATCAAAATTAATTTACACTTTCGTGGACGGTTCAGCCTTTTGTCTGGATTTTCTTTTGAAACAGAGTGCATTGATTTATCAATTCATAGTTTTAGAACACATAGCAAAACACAGATGTAATTGTTAAACTGCTCCAAATAATAGATGGATTAGGTTGTATGTAGTGGAGAATTCTTCTAAATGTAACATTTTAAAGTTGAGAGGGTGGGGAGTGGAAGGATAGGTAAATAAAATTAGCCATCTACACAAAAGAAAAATCTTCATTCAATCAGCCTGCACATGATAACAAAAGATTTCTAATATGGCATCAAAATGAACCGGAGGATAAAAAAAACAATTTCAGGCCAGTTAGGGACACAACTTCAGCTACAAATTCCATGTACTTTGAGTTTTTATTAAAAACATTTTATTTCATTCTGGTTCAGGATACTGTCAATAACATGTCTATTAAGACAATTCTTTTATGCAATTCTTTAATTTCATATTTACATACCCTGTAAATGTAACGGTAGCGGAGTCCTAAAGCTCAGTGGTTAGAGCACTCGCCTCGCAAGCAAGAGACCTTGGTTCGATTCCCGGCAGGGCGAAACATTAGGCAAGTTTCCTTACTCCACACGCCTCTGTTTACCTAGCAGTAAGTAGGAACCCGGTTGTTAGTCAATTGGCGGATCGCTTTTCTGGGGGTAATAATTCCTTCAAAAAAAATAATAAACTTATCACTCAACCCACAACTGTTTGTCAAACACTGCTGGACGCAATTGGTTGCTGTGTTTCGCCCACAAAATGTACAGTCACTACACTTCACAGTATATTCTATGAAACGTTTTGAGACATTTTGAAGATGTGATAAGGGCCATATCAAATGCAAGGACTATTATTATTATGGACATCCTGCAACTCAAATATATTCAACAGCCTTCATTTGGATGACGTGAATCAAGTCGCGGGTGTAGATTCAGAGGCAAGTGACCAGGATGTTGGAACAGTGATGATGAGGCACCAACAGGACCCAAAGATAGACTTGGGTTCATCAACATTCAGCTGGTAAAACTTAAAAGGTCATCCAGAACATCAAGTCTGACAGCATTGTAGCCTGGAATCTAGGGTGATGCAAGCTAACTTGGGGGGAGGGTTAAAAAGCTGCTCCTGGGTAGGCAGGACCCGTGTAGGAATGAAGGTGACGGGTCATAATCCCAAACAATTGCTTTTGATTTACCAGATCAGACAAAAGTATTTGAGAAAATAAAAATATCAAATATTAACAAAGATAAATTTCATATGTGGCACTTACCTTAGATTGCAAAATATGGGCCTCCTAAAAAAAAACTTCACAAATATGAAGCATTACTTCCTGCCAAATATTGTACCTACTTTTGCTGTACTGGGAATGATGGGAAGGTGGTGCTTTACTTTTCTCTGGGGAGTAACTTCTGCTGCTGATGCTTGATCCAGACCGACTATGAGGAGATTCTTTCCTGGATGCTACACATACCCTGTAATAAGGACTTTCTCGTTTATGAGAACGATCTCTCACGTGCTGAGAGAGATGGTAGTGATTCCTTTTGAAGTTATCCCTGTTGGAAGATCAAAGATAGCCTTCAAAATACTTGCAGCGAAGCTTCTCTCCTCTAATTTTAGTATACTGTTTACAGAATTTATTTCCAAAGTTTAAACATTTTTTCAAATAAATTGATACACTGTCACAATCTTGGTAAACCCATAGTCTATGGCACAAAGGTGACAGAACAAAAAAATGAAATTGTAGTGGGTACTTCAAGGCGATAAGTTTTGATTTCAACAGTAAGTATGCGAGGATTAAGTGTGTCAATTTGTTAAAAAGCCAATGAGTTTGACAAATAAATAGGCCACAATTCAGAGGAACACCAATACATGAACCATAACCAAGTATAAGACAAGTAAATGCTGGAAGTTGGCAGTTGTAAGAGAACAGCTGTGGCTAAATCATTAAACATTTTCTTAACTTCATTTTTATTCATAGTTCAACAAATTAAATTACATGGTTTTCCAGTTCACCTGTGCTACATGCTTCCCTTTGCTGCTAATAATAATCGTTGATGGGAGCCAAGCAGGACTATGGTCTTGTCTCAAAGCACTTCATAGAATATACTGTAAACTGAACTGACTGTATATTTTTGTGGGTGAAACACAGCAGCCAAATAGGCACAACAGTGTCCCACAAACAGTCATGACCAAATTATTTAATTATTTGAAGGAATTATTACCCCCAGAAAGCGATCCGCCAATCGACAATCGGGTTCCTCCTTACTGCTGGGTACAGAGGTATGTGGAATAAGGAAACTTGCCTAAGGTTTCGCCCAGCCCAGGAATTGAACCCGGGTCCTCTCTCTTGCAAAGTAAGTGTTCTAACCACTACGCTACAGGACTAAGGTAGCAAATGTAAACTGGTCCCTGACCTCTGAAAATGGCCGCAACCCTTCTCTCTCCTCAGCTGATCTCAAAGCAGCACAGAGGACTGCCCATGCAGAACCACCCTGTCTGATATTTACTCTTTATACAAAAATTGCTTTTGTCAGATCAGTAACTGAGCAAAGGTTTGGATGGAAAATGCACCTCCCATTCACGGCACCAATTCTCAGTTGTACCACATTGTGCAGAATCGTTCTTTTAACTTGTTTGTACATTTATTTCCGTTCATTTGTTAGACTGAGCTGCTCAGAATTTATTCAAGCAACAGCAAATTCTGCACTTTCTAATATGATGCAGTGTTGTCAACTCTTGTAACTTGTTCCACATGTCTGACCAAGATTCATAAGCAATCATGAATCCTTGTGATTTTAGGCACAGATCAGCAGAAAACTGGAAAGCAAACTTTAAAAAATAAATGGATACCAGCAAGTTATTCAGCAATCTTGGATTTGAGTTAGTTTGAATGCTGTGGAGAATGTAGTGCTCATTTTTCTCGAATAAGTTAATAGATGTAAAAAAAATCTATGACTTATCACTTGTACACAATACAAAAAAAATAATTGGCTTCAAAGTTAGAGTTAACCACCCTTATAATTTGCATTTTTTTCCCCATTGCTGTCATCAGTTTTAAGAGGAAAGCAACGGCTCCTACAAGTAAAATCCCTATCCCCTGCGATCTTGTAATCTGTCTTCAGGCTCATAAGCCAATGCCAATTGGATATCCAAAAGATCATCAATTATTCTGCATACTGGATTTTATATGCCATGTCAGCAAATTCTCTTTGAATCTTGGATGATATCCTGTAAATGTTGAGACTAAATAGGCAAAGAGACATTAACTTTAATCACAACAAAATAAAAATGCATTCCTCAAAATATTACAGCTAAAATGAATATCCTAATCAGGTTATTTTGCCTGTTTAAATCAGCTGTGTCATTTATAACAATTAGTTTAGGCTATTTTTAAGAAACACAGAATGCTTAACTTTCCCCTTCCCCTTAGTAGCTTTTCACTCTCAATCAGTTTGGGTGGAATTTATATCAGTGCTGTAGCTCCCTTTTTCCTGAAGTACGGTGATGAAAAACAACTTCTGACAGGTGAGAATAACTGGTCAAGCTGTTCTTTGTCTTTTAAATCCACAAATTGTGATAATCACAAAAATGAATTCAGATTTAAAATGTATCCTTTTTTGATGCAATTATTTAACACATTTCCTATTCAATCTCGATTTCTATTCTCAAAAGGTTTTGAAAAATGTAGCAAAGCTCACCACCTTAACTCCAGACTTATTGAGTTTCTTGGATCTGAAGAAAAGTACAATTGGATTGATTTATAGGGCACATTAATCCAGATATATCATCACAAAATGCATTTAATTAATTCAGCTAAGATTTTTCTTGGTCATCCAGGGGTCTGACACATGCGGAAACCCATCACCATGCTTAAGAGTACCCAAACCAAACTGAGATTTCAACGCATCCCACCTACACATGGAAATTCTTCCACCGCCAGGAGGATAATAATAATACTTGCGTTTGATATAGCGCTTTATCGCGTCTTCAAGACGTCTCAAAGCGCTTCACAGAATATACTGTAAAGTGAATTGACTGTATATTTTGTGGGAGAAAAGCGGTAGCCAATTGCGCACAGCAGTTTCCCACAAGCAGTCGTGGATTGAAGCGACTAATCAATTATTAAGTAACTAAAACCTTTGCTATTGAGGGGTATATCGATGCACTTCAACTTGTTAATCTTGCAGGAACCATAGGTTTAAAGGGAAAGCTCACCACAACCACCTTTTAAGAAATAACCAGTTTAAAATGCAGAAGCAGCTTTTCCCCGAACAGACAAGACTGCAGAATTGGACCCCAGTCATTCTTAAACACATGCGCTAGGAGGGCTGCCATATTGAAGTCAACCTAGCACTCACCATACGGAAGTTAAACTGGACAAAATGGTCTAGTATTTTTCAGATGTAGAAAGGATACAGCCTTCTACATCAGAAAATCAATACATTGAAACCACAGTGAAAAACACTTCTGAAGACAAGCACATGTGGAATTTGAATCATTTTCCCCAAAGCATTTGCAGTTCATTAGCCAAGGACGTTATTTTAGCACATTCCTTATTCAATACTGATTCCTATTCACAAATTGTGTTAAGAGCTTGATAATTACTCAGTAAAATCGGTTATACCCGGCAACAAGTCATGGGTGGTATAAAAACTGTACATCTCACCATGCCTGGCAAGATAACAGCAAGATTCATTAAATGTACGTGACTGAGGTCACACATTTGCAATTTATATCTCCTGACATTTCAATTTACATATTCATGCATTTTACCAGGCAAAAGAATGTAGAATGGAACATATACATGTTTTGTTCTGCAAGATGCGTAACTTGCCAATGATCTCTACAAAAATCTGCAGAAAAGGAATATAATAAACATACCCTTGAGAGACATTCCTCAGTGGGGGATAACTTAACATCTTAAGTGAGACTTATTCTATTGAATTTTGGCATCTGCAAGCATGATAGTATAAATATTAAATCTGTTCCTCCTGCAAATAAACTATTTTAAGGACAGATGTTACCATATCTTTGGTACTTAAAAGCCTCCATAAAAATCATAGACACCACCACAAACCTTTGGAGAATCCCTCAAATCACAAGACGTTTTTAAAATACAATAATGTATAGCTTTCCATTCACTCAAGATGTTCATTTGATCAGTCAACCTGGCAACAGATCAATTTCAAACATTCACAGCTGTTCTCAGAAGCCTGCTACTGTTACTAAATCTCAATTTTATCATGCTCCCTCCCTGACCCCAGCTCGGGTCTGAAATGCTGTACATTGTCCAGTGCCTTGGGACGTTCTCCCAATGTGAAAGGTGCTATACAAATGTAATCTTGGTGTTGTTTCTTGTACCTAATTTCTCACTGCAAATCAAATCATCAAAGGTGGTTTGTACATGGTTGATTGATGACCTAAGGAGTACAGATAGATTATCTCTACATCAATATAAAAACACAGCAAGGTTAGGTTTTGTGAACAATTGAACCATTTGGAAACCTCATCACTAAGGGCAACTTCCTACAAGACCACTCCTTCAAAGCTTCTGTCTTCATTTGAAGCTGATGGTCAACACAAACTTAAGTCACTAAAAATAGATTTACGAATAAGGGCACTTGATTGATAGAGTGTGCTTTCACTACACTCTTATTGCGATTGTGAAATTGCTTTAAAAATCGTGGAAGATTTAAAATTAAAGAAATTGCACAAGGTATGAAAATAACATTATGTTAGTAAGATCTTTCAGAGCTCTAAAAGTTTAAGTAACATCTGGCTTTTTGCAAGTGAAAAATGCAACTCAAGTTTTAACCTATGGATTTAACCTTTCATATTTATAACAACTTTTTTTTTTAACAACGCAGGAGGCCGTTTAGCTCTTTGCATCTGCACCAGTTCTCAGAGCACTCTTCTTTCAATCCCACTGCCCTCCCTTATCTCAACCAGAACAGATTGTATTAATATTGCGTCTTTCCCATTGGGAAGACGTCCTAGGGTGCCTGACAGCCGAGAGTTTGCACCCGAGCTGAGGGCTAGATTCAAGCGGGGTAGGGTCAAAGGGATGGAAAGATGACTGAAGGCACAGTCAAAAAGGTCTTGACGTAGACCTTGAAGGAGGCAAAGGAAGAGATGAAGTGAAGGGACTCCGGGATGAAAGGAAATGCAAGGATTATTATTATTACTATTATTATGGAGTGGGGGTAGAAAGACTGAAGGCCCAACCACCAATTGTGCGGCAGGCAGGGCAGGGGATGTGAATCAGGCCAATGGCTACCAAGTGGCGGGTTGGTAAGGTTTTAGCAGATCGCAGAGGTAAATGGGGCTATCTCCATTACCCTTAATGTTTCTATCCTTCATTTTCCACCTAATTCCCTGTTGAAACTCAACATGTACGCTGCCCCAACCAGATGACTTGGCAAGGCATTCCACATGCTCACAACTCTGAAAAAAAAAAAATCCCCAAAGCTCTCCTTTCATTCACTCTTGTGGTTATATCTATATCCTCCAATCACCAACACAGGAAATAGCTTCTCCCTATTCACCCTGTCAA